GGCCTGCACCTGAGCTACAGGTTAATTTGTTCACATGAGGGCCTGCACCTGAGCTACAGGTTAATTTGTTCACATGAGACCTGCACCTGAGCTACAGGTTAATTTGTTCCTGCTCTATCACATCCTATGCCAGTGATGGCAAACCTTTCCATCCTCGCATGCCAAAAGTGCCCGCACACACATGTACGCATGCCAGCACCCATAAGGCAATGTACGCGGGGAGCCCCATGCCCCCTACACATGCACGCATGACCCCCCCACCTGAGCGCCATGCGTCTCTGCGCATGTGCATGTCTCCTGGAACGCCCCGCCCTTCATACATGCGCGACAGCTAGCCGACGATCAGCTGGCGGGCGTGTGGCACACATGCCTGCGCAGTGGACCTACTCTGGGGTAACGGCTCACGGGCCGGCGGAGATGGCTCTGTTTGCCATTTCCGGCATGTGTGCCATAGGTTTGCCATCACAGTCCTATGCCAAGCACATTGGGCTACAAGTATACTCTACCATCCTTGGTCGCATTTAATCTCCGATCTTTCCATTTAAAGTTGATGTTTTTCAGATCGTCCTGAAATGTTTGGTGACAGGTTTTCTGTGCCCTTCCTCTTTTTCCCCAACCATCCTGGGGTATCCAGTTGATTGCAGTCTTTGCTGGACATTGCAAACTCATGTGGAGCATGTGTCCTGCAAAGCACGTTCTTTGTTTTGTCACTATCTAAGACTCTTCAGGAATTACTTCTTTGTAGAACGTTCTCATTTGTGACATTCTGTTAAGGTTAATAAAATGTAGTGAGAGAACACTCAATACTGCAGGGAGAACTCCAGATTGACAAAAGATAAATGCATGAAGAATAAGTAAAGATTGCCAGATTGGTAGGGCATAGGATTAAATTCTGTTTGGTGTGCATTGTTCAGTCACTGAGAATTGAGCAGCTTCAAGTTTAAATTATTATGGTCAGTCTTACAATCACTTAGATGTCTATGCTGAATTTGGCATTTTTGCTCACCTATTATTTCCTATCCAAGGACCTGGGATGGCAGTTGTTAGAGTTGTTATTATTATTGTTGTTGTTGTTGTTGTTAAATCTTTAGTGAGATTTACAGCCTTTGGGGCTGGTTGGTAGCTCAACCAAGAACCCAGGAACTGTTAAGGTTGCGTCGGAGGATATAAGCTGTTCCAAGTAGGGTAGGTTTTTTTTTCTCGAATCAAGGTATTCAAGTCTGATAAATTTAATAATAATAATAATAATAATAATAATAATAATAATAATAATAATAATAATAATAATAATAATTACACACTGATGTGAAATCACAGCTACCAGTTCTGTCCCACTTCAGTCACTTACTGTAATCTTACGCTGGTACTGCAGGATATAAAACATTGAGAAGCGGCAGCTGAATTGTTCACCTTCACCATATACAAGGTTAAACTAAAAACAGAAACAAAGCCTGACAGCTGTTGCTATTTAAAAATACTGAACAAATTGCCAGATTATATCCTCTGATTTACACAGTACACCAGGTGGTGCCATGGCCAGTTCTAGCTATGGTCTTCTATTGCTTTTCTTTTGGGAAGATACCATGGCTGGCTGGGGAATTCTGGGAGTTGAAGTCCACACATCTTAAAATTTACCAAGTTTGTACACCTCTGAGCTAGATAGTGCCAGGAGTGACTGCTAGTTTCCAAACAAACAATCCTATAGTACAGTGCTGTTAAGTTAGTTGGCTAAAAAAGAAGAATCAGTTGATGTCTTACCTTCCTAAAACTCAAACAGATGAGTCCTACTCTTGAGAAACTCAAGACTCGGCTGTGAGGGCAAAGTTGTGGCTTAAAACAACCACCTATCTGATTTTCTTTGCTAATAATTTTCTTCTGATTCCTTCTAGGCACAATTGCAAGAGCGAAATGATCCTCCACAGCTTCTGTTAGACTTCAAATTCATGTTCCCTGTTTTGTTTCCATTCAATCCTTCGTCTCTGACCATGGACTCTATCCACATCCCAGCTTCCCTCAACCTGGAATTCCTTAATCGAGTTTGAAGACATAATATATATTTTTTTTACCCCAATTTCCCCAAAGCTGGGGGCGGGAAGAAACGAAAATGTAAAGCTCTTCTAATATGGACCAAATAATGGTGAAAAGAACCAGTACATGCTAATTAATCAGTGCTAAATTGTTCAGGATAAAAAATAATACTTGGGTTAGATGATTTTTGGTTTGTATGAGGGACTTTTTTGTGGGTGGGTGGGTAGATCTTGAAGTTGATACTTGAAACACACGAAGGGGTTGAACTGTTTGATGCCATGCTAAAGTATTTTCTCCCACTTGCCGTTAAGGCAAACGCACTGGTTAAGCAGGATGTAAGCTTTACTTTTGTGAATTATGTTTCTCAAGGACTTTTGTGTTGAAATGATAAAAAGAAGCCCAGATTGCCACCCATTTTCTGATTGTCCATGGTGATAGAGCAGGGGTCTCCAACCTTGGCAGCGTTAAAACTCGTGGATGTCAACTCCCAGAACTTGTCAGCCAGCATGGCTGGCTGGGGAATTCTGGGAATTGAAGTCCACGAGTCTTAAAAGTTATGTTCCAAGGTGGAGCTTGCTTTAATCTTATTTCTCATTTAAAAAAAAAAAAAGTTGCTTTAGGTTAAAATTTAAAAAAAGTGACACAGCTTGAACAGATGTTGCTGGAGGTGGGAAGAGCATAATTTTCAATTTGTACTGAGGCTGGGGAATGCTACTTTGCATATGAAGCAAGTTAGTCACTGAAAGCTTCAGGAAGATGTGTAAAATATGGTTAAAAAAAGACAATATGGCGGTACATACCTAAGAAAGCAGGCCAAACTTCAATCACACCATTGGGGCTGCCATTTTGACTTTTGTTTACCATACTTTGTGGATACCCTGGTCCGTCTTTAACCCATCAGGTGCCTATTAATAATTTTTCTGTTTCTATCACTAAGAATGTGAAGTTGTGGAACCATAAACCTCTATGTTTGCTTCATGCCAAATTACAATTTCACTGTAAGCTGCTACGGATTCATTTAGGCAGTGACAGACAGGGGCCTGCTTTGATTTACTGGGGAAGAAAATGGTGTACTGGCTACATTGACTCCGAGACAGATTCCTTGTTGAGATAGTTGAAGCCTCCCTATGATCACACTTGGAACTGTGCCAGGACACAGCAGGGATACGTTGGCTGTTGTGTGTCATTGTGCAGTCAATGTTTCCCCAGCATTGACAGAACATTTGCAGGAAATGGAGTGTCAGGCTGTGTTTCCAAGCTAGTTACAAGGACAATGTTAGGCACTTTATATAGTATTTGTTAATATCTGAACTCCAAGAGAAGCCTTTCAAGAGAATTATCATAGAAACTAATGCAGAAGACTCTGTCAGCGTGTTTATGCACATAACAATAGGTAAGAAATGATCTTTCATGCAAAAACTAATCAGCACTTATTAAATACTAGAGAGCCCCTTAGTCTCCCTTCCACATAAAATCCAATAAAATCTTGTGTTTTAAATATGATTTTTTAAATTATGTCCAAAATCATACTACCAAAGGTTTTTCTCCAAATTTTATTTTTTTAAGCATTGCTTAACTATTATTCAGTAGCTATCATAGCCATTAAAGTGGCATTCAGATAAAAAGGAGACCATGGGAAGGGACAATTATATGGATTAATAGACAGCCATATACAGCATTTGTTATTCTGCAATCTCCTATAATTGCACTTCACTAGATCAACCCAGTAGGGTTACAAGCAAAAAAGAAATGTGATTGAATGACCTTCTTGAACTGTGCCCAGAATGATCTTGGCATTCTTCACTCTTGCAAGTTTGGCAGTTAAATATTGGACCAGGAAGCTTTTAGCGAGATGAACCCCATCCTTTTCAAAATAATTTGGTTATTATAAATCAAATGCCCACTCCTCCACTAATGGATCAAGTCTAAGACTTTCTGGTCTCGTGGAAAATAAGAACGTGCCCATTTTTAAGGTCACCAAGACATCTGCTGTCTAAAAGGGAAGCATTTTGTGCATTTGACCATGGCTTGCGGTATTGAATATCTAAATATCTTGATGCACAGATGGATGCAAAGAGGAGCATCTGCCATCTAACTTCTCTTAAATGCTTACACTGCTCCTCCAAAGCTATCCGTCATTAAATTTAGTATCCAGGGAACCGTTTCTTCATAATGCTAAATTCCTAAAACGACTGCAACCATGTGGTAAAATGACAACTGCAGGCACACTGCTTCCACATCATTCTGCAAATTTTATCGTTTTTTTTTCCCCTCCTCGGTCCCTGCGGAAAAATTCACGCTACCTTTTCCAGTAGTTCTAGTTCTAGTTTTATCCAATGACGCTTTATTCAATAGAAGTTTCTCTATTATTCAAACTTTAATGCAAAAAAAAGTTCTCTGGCCGCATTTGCTTATTTCTCTTATGATTTTCTGCATTAGTGCAAACATTGATTCATGGATTTCCCTCCTCAAATTAAATTAATAAATTTGTACTTTGGCAGACCCTCCTCTGGGGGTCCTGAACATGGAACAAAAAAGCACATTTTGTTGCCTCTAATAGAACAGATCCCTGTTTCCTGACCTTTTTCTTTAAGTATCACTTTCCAGAGTAATATATGAAGTAGACATTGAATTTTCTTAAATAACTGAATATTATAATTCCTGTGTATTCCTTATGAATTCTCTAGGTTTACTCATCGTCAGTAAAATAATGTAAAAATGAGGCACTTTTCTGAAAAGTAACACTCAAGCTAAAGTAGTGAAACTGCTATTTACCCATTGTGGCCAGTTTATTCCTGCACAATGGACCTTTTCTCTCCCACAAAATAGGTGTGAAAAGGGGGCACTTTGCCAACTGTGATCCTATCTACCGCCTTTTAAAAGTATACATGAAAAGTAAACAATTATTTCCAAATGTTCCAGTATCATGTGGAACTAAACTGGGCAATTGGAAGTGTTATGTTGCCATTTGGCAAGAAGCCTCAATTTCTGTATAAATTGTATATGTTAAAAAAAATCCTCAAATGTTGCAAAGCTTTTAAATACGTTGGTGTATTTAATTCTTATTGGGCAGACTAAAGATGCAGAATAAGATGCAAAACCTTCTACAGAATCTTGGAAAATGTATTTATAAAGCGTGGCTAAAGCTCTACCTAATGGTAATATTTCTCTGCAAGGACTGCAAGAAAATTTAATTTATATTATGTATATAATATCTGTACATTTTTAAAGTATGTTATAACAGATAGAAATTGAATATTTGTAATTATCTGCCAACTTGGATTTACTGAAGGAACTTGTGTTTAAATAACTGATGTCTGTAACTTTTGTGATCTGTTTTTAAGATAACTTGAGTTTTTCTTTTTAAAAAGCCAATTCACTGACAGTGCCATGCACAAATATGCTTTCTCTGTCTCTAATTGACCATTTCTTTTATTTAAAAATACTTTAGCACAGATCAAAAAAGTAGATTGTGTCACTTATTTCATCTTTTTATTGTTTTTGACTGAATTCTTTCCTTCAGCATGACTTTACATTAAGCATTTCCTAAACTAAGTATTACAAATTTGGAGAAAAACTTAAATGTCACCCCAAGTTACCTTTGAATTTGTATGTAAACTGATGAAACTGCATATGAATTTTAGACATCTGTAAAAGTCCATTAGAAGGATCCAAATGCAGATTTGAATTTATTTTCTCCACAAAGTTTTAGATTCTAAAACTTGTTTTTGAAGATTCCAAATTTGGGAATCTTAGATATATTTTTAAAGACCTACAAAGGCACTAAAATAAGTATAAATAAAATACTTGATCACAGTTATTTATGGCTATCAAATTAATATTAGCCAATGTGCAACCTTATATATAACTTCTATTTGTTTAGGACAGTCAGCATGGAAAGATTTCAGTATTGTTGTATTAGATTAATTTGAACTTTTTATAAAAAGAAATATATGGCCAATTGTCTTCCTCAATTAAAAACTGCAAGAAATGCAGATTTATTCATATTGATTCATTGATATTAACTATTAACTTTTTTAATACTACACATCTCAAGTGTGCAAGAATTAGCAAGACTTGTCTGTACACAGGGACAAGCAATGAGATTGCCAGGTTTCAAGTTATACTACACACACTGAAGTAATTTCTCCCTTATTGCAGCAAATTAACTCTATGGGTTTGCTTATTTTCAGACTAAGCTATAAAATAGAATGCTGTAGTCAAAATATTCTAGCATTATAGATGTAGCTGACTGTCCATCATGCCAATCAATTTATACTGCATGAGCAAATTACATCCCTGCCTTCAAAACTTCATTTTTTTTACATGTATTGAAAGATAACTCCAATAAAAGCTAGAGAATTATTCAAAGAATGCAAATGCTAGAACATAAAATGAGGTGTACCTACCCCAATTTATAATTGCCCCAGTTTAATTAAAATTGCAAGCTACAGTTTAATTAAAATATTGCTACTGATAAAAATATTTTTCCAGTTTGAACAATTGGGAAAACTACACCTGTTTATAGGAAAGTGACTGTAAAAGTCACCATCATTCATAATACTTTGGAATAAAAAGCTTGCTTTCCTTGTTTTTCTGCATGCTGGTTTTATTTCCAGCATTGCTAAGTGTCCACTTTCAAAGCTCATTCTAAAAGAGAAATGGATTTGTTTTATAAACTCTTTGTAATACATTTACAGAATGTATATATTATTTCCTTCTGGAGTTCCAAGTGTTACATGTAAATGCTGCAATGGTACAGCTTTCAAGATTGCTTTTTAGATTATTGTGAAGTATTTTTGGAAGCAAATATAGTTGGGTTGATGAATGCACCAAACCCAAGTGGTCTGTTGGAGGAAAGCTTCTGAAATATATTTCAATTCTATTACCGTATTTCCCCAAAAATAAGACCCGGGGCATGACAGCTGAAGAAGCTTCTTGGGTGAGAAGCGAAACATCTTCAAAAGAAAAAACAACAAGTCTAGTTGCCTCCTGAAAAAGCACCTTTGGGACAACCATGACCTGGATGACTGTCTACCATGAGAGTTTCAGTTGTTGGAATGCAGGTGAAGAGGGAAGTCACATCATAGGAAACCATGGTCTCATCCGGGTCGTTTTAGATTCCAAATCTTGCTGGCAAAGTCCTGTGAATTGTTGATGGGTTGTATAGTTTTGCCATCTAGAGGAGCTAATAAGGTGGCTGGATGTTTTGCAATGCTGTAGGTGACTGAGTTGATGCTGCTGACAATTAGTGTGAGTGGAGTTCCCCCTGTGGATTTTGGGGAATCCATATATGCATGGCGTGGCTTCCCCAGGGTATAAAGACGGTAGTATTGTGGCTGATCAATGGCTTTGTCCTTCAGTAGTTATTGCAAGAAATCAACCTTTTTCTTGTAAATGCTGGTGGGATCTCTCTTCAGTCTCATACATGGCAGTGTGCCATTTACTTTGGCCTTGTAGTCATCTGTGTTCAGGATGACTGCATTTTCCTTTATCTGCTGGCAGGATGGTGATGTTTGGGTCTCTTCCTAGAGATGTCACTGCTCTCCTTTCTTGAATTATGAGGTTGGAAGGGGGTGTTTTGGCATTAGCAAAGACTACAGGTATTTTCACCCTTAACTGTTCTGCCTCTGGTTCTGCCAGTTTATTGTTTCTGATGGCTGACTCTAGTGCTCTGAGATCTACAACTGGTAGCTGTTCTGGTATGACTGCAAAATTCAGCCCTGCGGCTAAACATTTTCTGTTTGGGTAAGCTGTCAGATTTCTCACCCATTGGTCAGTTTTCTGAGACATGTCACTGTCCATCTGTGTTGATTCTTCTGCTCTGTGTATTTTTTCTTGTCTAAACTGTAGGATACAAGTGATTTCAGCTCTTGAAGTTTGTGTTCCACGCTCCCTTTCAAAATATCAGTTGTAAAATTAATCTTAAACTGAAGCGCAAATGGTTCCTGTGGTCTGTAATTTTTTCTGGAAATTCATTGATATTCCACCATTCGAACGATGTTCAAGTGCATAGCTAAATGTTTCAATTATGTTTTTGTTTGATGTTATACACCACTGAGAGTCCTTTGGCATTGGAGCAGGTTACAAGCACTATATATAAGTAGATGGATTATTAGATACATTGAGATGGGTAACAAAATAATAGACTAGATCAGAGTCACCTCCCAAGTTACATAGTTGATTGTAACACTGAGTTTCACAATCCCAGCCAACCCCACTATGTACCATACAACCCCATCATAAAGGATTTTGCTTCACTGACCTTTAAGATTTTTCTCCAGTGCCTCGGGCTCTGTGCATCAGCAACCAAGTAAGAACTATGGGGCTGCCAAAGCATTGGTCTCAGATGCCTTTGTTAGCACAAAATTCGTCATTCAGTTCCACACAGAACTCAGATTGCGCAGTGGGCTATTCATCACAGACCAGCAATGGCAAGAAGGGGAAATGCTCTCCAAATTAGGTGTTTGAGACAGGAGTTCCCTTGGAGGTACAAAATGCAACAGTCCCAATGGGCAGTGCTGATGAACCCTAAGATATTCTCTGCTTTCTATGTCCAATCACTACTTCAGGGTCGCCAGTTGGCATCTGGATGCCATTCAAGAATCTCTTTGGCAGCACCTTGGAACTATTTTCTCTCCCCCATATCCATCTGCCTGTCCAGTCAGACCAATCTACACAAGGATGTTTACATGGCAGGATTTTAGAAACAGGCATTTTAGATCCTTGTCCCTATACTTTGGAGATTCAGTTTGCTCCTTTCCTCCTGGATTTCAGGAGAGCTGTTAAAACCCGATGGTTCCCTCAAGCTCTGGAGGAGAGTAAAATGTAAGGAAAGCACAACATTGTATTTTATGGGATTACTTATTCTTTTTAAGGGGATTGATTTATGAGGATCTTGATTATTAACCACCCAGAGCCTTTTGAGCATACAAATTAATTTGAACCAGATGGATCAGAAACTATCACAAAGCAAAACGCTCTTGCAAATATTTGTATAGAATTGTGCAAGCAGTTGCAAATATTTGTATAGAATTGTGCAAGCGGTCAAGAATAGTCCATCATTTCTGCTCTGTGTGCACAAGTGTCAAAATGATTTTCATGATTGAGCCCACTATATGGGACCCCCATTCCAAGTCCATTAGCAAAATTGGTTAGATAAATACAAATTACCATTATGACCATTCATTATTGAGCAAGCAATGCTTGCTATTTTTAGAGAACACTATGATAACATCTTTATGCTGTTCAGTCATTAAGGTACTTTCAATTCTTCATGACCTGATGGACATCCTTTTGCCAGGATTGTCTCCGAGTTCTTGAGACCAGTATCTAGCACCTTCTCTCTCAGTGGCCCTTTTTTCAATTGTCAATTAATTTTTCCAGGCATCAAGATCTTCTAACCAGTAACACCACCTTTCATCCATTTTATTGACTGGTACTATAAACAGATGAGCTGTTTCTTGCTACTCTAGAACAATAGGTGTATTTCTGTAATTCCTGCTGAAAATAACAAATGTTTGCAGCAATTAAATTCAAATGACAAGAGTTTTGAGAAACATTTCTTAGCCTTTTTATTTGAAGTCTCTAATGATCACACTTGGCAAATGATACCATTAAGTTCTCTTCAATTAATTCTTCCCTTACAATGCATAATCCTTAGCCAGCTTTCAAGAAATAACAATTCAAATAAGATGAACATTCCACAACAAAGGCACATTTCA